CCCTGCACAGCGCTCCGTGTGCCCCAGGTCGGCAGAGAGCTGGAAGCGTCGGTGCCCTGCCCACACTGGAGGAGCTCGGGAACAGCCCTGTCTCCTCCAGCTCCCCGGGGGATGCCTGGGGGCACCTCGGCTGCCCCAAACACCGTCTTGGGGAGGAGCATTTCCCAGCGCTGCACTGACATCACCCATGCAAAACCAGCAGCTCCACCTCCATCCCACCCTCACTGTATGAGCCAGGATTTGGGCATTTGGCAGCCAGGACATGGCCCTGCTGGTGGCAGTCCAGAGGAGGCACCAAGAGGATCAGAGGGATGGAGAAGCTCTGCTGGGAGAATTGGGATTGTTCAGCCTGGAGAAGGGAAGGCTTTGGAAGGGGGAACTAACTGTGATCTTCCAGGACCTGAAGGGAGACAATAAAAAAGGTGGAGATAGAGACTATTTGCAAGGGCCTGGAATGACGGGATAAGGGGCACAGCTTTAAACTGAGAGTAGGGTTAGGTGGGATACTGGGAAGAAATCCTTCCCTGTGAGGGTGGGCAGGCCCTGGCACAGGTTGCCCAGAGGAGCTGTGGCTGCCCCTGGATCCCTGGAAGTGTCCAAGGCCGGGTTGGATGGGGCTTGGAGCAACCTGGGCTGGTGGAAGGTGTCCCTGCCCATGGCAGGGGGTGGCACTGGCTGATCTTTAAGGTCCCTTCCAACCCAACCCATTCTCTAACTTATCTTTTTTCCTTCTCACAGTTGTTTTCCCCCCCTGCCCAGCATGAATTCTGATGTGAACAGCAATGGCTGTACTTGTGTTGTATTTTAAATCCAAGCTGTTCTTTCCTTCTTCCATTCCCCACCTGTGGTCCCTTGAAATGCATTTTTAAAACCTTTGAAGTAACGCATTTTTACATGTCACTGTCTTAACCCACCCAACCAGTAGCACCACACGAATAGAAGGCAGTAACTTCCAAGAGACATCTTTTGTTCTCTTCCTGTTGTATTTTGAATGGGATGGTGCTCCATCAGTGCTGGGTGAGCATCTGCATCAGCTCTCACTCCAGTCCTGGAGTTGGAGAGCAGATATATTTGGGATCACACAGGAGTCTGTTATAATTAATTAAGCATTGGATAATTGATGTTAATGCAGATCCAGAGGATCACAACATCACAGACCCAAAACACATGAAAATCTGAGAGGTTGTCATTTTGGGGTATTTACCTGCCAGTTTATTCCTCACTTAACTTGTTTGACTTGTCTAATCCCCAGAGCAAAAAACATCACAGAGCTACGTCATGTTACTACTGAACTAAACCCAAACTAAGGCCACTGGAAGGGGGTGCTGGAAAAGAAAAGTGGCATAAATTTAGTTTTGAAATATCCAAGAACTTGAAGACAAAGCCAGCTGAGCTCTGTGGAGGAAACCTGTGGTGGAACTGGACCAGGAGCACGTGGTGGTCCAATAGAGGACTTTTATATATATATATATTTATATAGGTAAGTTAAACATTGCCTAAATATTGAAGATATAAAAATGGTAAAATTCTTTCTGAAATGAAAACATTGATTAAGCAAATGAGTTAAAAGTGAAACTCGAGTGGTTTTTGGTTTGTTTTTTATTTAGAAATAACTGTAGGAGAATTTGACAAAGGCCCCCAAAATGTACAGGAAACAGATGCTGTGCTTGCAGGTGTCACTTAAAGAGCACAAACAAATTCTGGGGCAAGGGGGGAAAAAAAGAACCAAAGAAACAACGTTCTGTTTGATCTTGGCTCCTCCCTGGACAGGCTGACAGTTGGCTGACTGGAGGCTGATGCCTACTAATTATTGACTCTTTTTACTGCAAATTTAGCTTAACACTGTGTTTTTCCACTCTCAGCTCTTAAAAATTACATTTTTAATGCTATTAAAACACAGTTAAAACTCCAAATCACACCACTTATATCGTGAGTTGTCACAGTCAATGCAGGAGCTACAGAAACTTTCATAATCAAGATTTATTTGGCTTTTGTTTGAAGATCACAAACACTAAGAACAATTTTACAATTGTTTTTATTCAAATAGTTTTTTTAAATCTAAAAACTAATTGTTTGGGGTTTTTTTTTCCCCCTAGGACTATTTCAAATATTTTTTTTCCACTTGATCTTTGTAGACAAGCTGTCCTTTAAAACTAGAGGTGAAGTTCCAGTATCTCAAATATTGACTTAACAAGTTCCATCTGCCAAGCAGAAACTTTTTCCTTAGCCACTATTTAAAGATATAAAATAAAACCTTTCCCATCTTTCTCAGCACAGCTACAAAGTTGTTGGGAAAAAAAACAAAAACCAAAAAAATAAAGCTGCAACTACCAAAAATAACTTTGTCACAGATATACATCACTCAGCAAGAAATCCAACACTAGGGAACAGTTTTATTAGCTAAGGAATTCTACTGCTGGTACAACCATCAAGATAAATAACTACAATGTTAAGACGTTCCCAACACGTGGTTACGAATTCCAAAGTCTCATCTGTGTTCTGCTTCATTTAACGGGGTAGAAAACTGTCCCTCCCAGGCTGTAGAAAGTGAAGCCTCATCAAGGCTTCAAAGCCCTCTCCTTTAATTAACACGCTGCTCATTTCTGGTTTCATAGAAAACAGACAACCAGTACGTGACTTTACCACTTAAAAAAAAAAAAAA